CGTAGCGACCTTACACGGTGGCTCACGCTGGCCGCCAGCGTGGTACGCTGAATTGGAAACGAGGGCACTTGTGCGCGACCTTTCGCGGACAGCTTGCGCGCCGATGTCCGTGCAGGCGACCCCGTGTTCTTCCGTCGCTCATCTGGGTAGGAGCCCCGCTGTCTGAATTCAGCCTCCCCTGAGATCCGACGCTGCGGCAAAACAAACATTCATCGCAGAAGATCGCAGAAGATGCGTCCGGAGCCCTGAGCCCCATCATCCTGATGTTTTCTTCGAGCCGGAACACTCCGTCATGGACCATGGCCCGACAACTTATGAAAAACCGGACGCGAACAAATCTGAACACGCTAAGACCTCCACGGGCCCCCTCGCTCCGCGCCCCCCGTCGCGGCCGGCCTCCAGGTGCGGGTCCGCGCCCGCCCGGAGAAGCACGAGCGCCGCGCCCGCGCCTCGGCCGGCTCTGCAGCGCGCCGCCCCGCGACGGGCGTCGCCTCTCCCCTCCGATCCCCGCAGATGCTGGCGATGACCCAGGGCCGGGATTCGTGCACGTGGGCTCATGACCCAGACCCCCTTCGGGCAATGAAAAAATCATGACGGGAGGTTTCTCGTTTTTGTTCGGCCTCTGGGTGCCCTTACCGGCCCTCGATCGGCTACATGCAAGAGTGACTCTGGGTAAGAGTGACCTTAGGTGCGCAGCTTGTTGGGCTCCGCGCGAGGACCAAACACAAGCGCGCAAGACGTTACTACCGCATCGCGTTCGGCGATCGGGGGACCGCAAAGGGGCTGCACCAAAGGTCACTCCGGCGAAGGGTCACTCTTACGTGTAGCCGACTCGAGACCGCCAGAAACCGACTCGGGATGCAAGCCGGTCCAGGGGACTGGGTCAGGGGTCGACGTGACGAAAAAAAACATGACCTCCGGGGTCTGGCACGTGGGCTCATGATGAGGAGGTGAAGTCCCCAACGGTCAACACATTAGCGGTCTGTAACCGAAATTGCGCTTGTCCTCGCCCAAAAAACTGCCGACCGTTCCCGAACGACCGACCGCGAACGATACCGACCGCGACCGTTCGTGACCGACTTTTGCACGGTATGGGTCGGTATCGGTCATTACCGTTCGTTCCCAGTCTCTGGGTCACATATGATATGGGCTGGCCGACACTTCGGCAGCAGATTCACGGACCTCCAACGCCCTGTACAGAAACAACAAACATTGGTTTTGTCGTTTCTCGGCGAGCTCACGGGGTGCTCTCGCCGGGTCCCTGGACGGTAGAAAAAACGATCCTGGCGAAAACAACGGATCCCCGGAAAGTGGCCCAGAGCTCCAGGAACCCTGTACATCAGAGGCCAGTCCTCAAGAAACCTCCCACCAGAAACCCAGACCCGAGACCCCAGGGCGCCCATTGGTTTAGGGCGTGGCAACGTCGCGTTTTCCATCGCAAAACCACACCCAAGAAGCCCACGGCACCCTGGAGGCAAGCCAGGTGTTTCTTGGCATGGGCCTCTACTGTATTGACGAAGCCAA